CCCACTTGACTCAAAGACCATACACACTGCAGAACTATAGCAGTTTAATACCATGTTAGCTGCCATGGCTCCATTCTATGGAATCCTTGCAGTTTGCTGTGCACCAGAGCCCTGATAGACAAGGGTAAAAATATTAGAAAACTATTAATCTCAAAATTCCATAGCACTGAGTCATGGCAATTAATGTGGTGCCAAACTATTATACTTCTGCAGTGTGGATAAAGCCACCATTTAAACAAAAGTGGCACTTTCACAATTCCAGACAATTGATGTGGGAAAATGCATACCACATCTTGAGCTTTTGCACACCTTTAGGGCTTACCATTTTTTTAAAAAATATAGCACATGCAAATTCACAGAGTTTACCTTCCACATTCACAGGGGTTAAGAGTAAAGAATCCCTAAGAAAGTGTAAAAAACATAAATACCAGAAGATTCTTGATACATGCATGCTATAGATTCCTGCCAATAGCACCAGCCCCTCACTTCCATGTGACCACCAGTGTGCCTAAGATAGATTTCAAGGAAGAGGAATGGGGTGAGGAGATCAATGCAGTCAAAATAAAAATTTTCTGGCTCTGATGGAAGGACAGACAGAAAGAAAGAAAGAGGATTGGGAGGATGAGATCAGTGGTCTTGAAATAAAACCTGGCTGCCTGTTTGAGGGACAACTAAGAAGAGGACGAGGGGGTTGAACTAATTAAGCACAAGGTCACAACTTAAATCTGTGATAGAGAAACACAAGAATATGAAGGACCAACTATATTGAAAAAAATGGAAACATACTTAATTTTACTATTTAAGTTGCATACATTGTGTAAATTAGATAAAGTACTTAAGTCCCCATTAGAAACATAGCATAGATAAGGCAAGCTGTGCAGAAAAAAAAATGCAAATTAGGGATTTGCATGAAACAATTCATAGAAAGAAAACACAAAAAGAGAAAAATATATATTTCTGAATACTTTTTCACATCCCTAATCTAGAGAAGAGAAAAGCAAAGTGGATTAACACTCCACTCCTAATCAAAAAATGAAATCTCATTGGCTGCAAATGAGGATCATGGGTTTTATGATGCTTAACACCTGAATGCCCAGTAATGATGAAAGGGAAAGATGAGCAGAGTTGTTTGAGGCCTGCATGCAAGAGGTCATGGCAAGAAAATACAAGCAAGAACAAGTTGGCTATCGCATAATTTCACCATCTCCTAAAAATGCACTCCTTCATCTCATTTATTAGCTAACAAACACAGTGAACAATCTCTTCTGTGACCTCTAACCACTTCCACATAGAACATCAAGATAGCTGACCCATTTGGCAGAAGCAACTTAACAATTAGAAGCAAGAGCTGACACATGAAATAGAAATCCTCATGCACTGCAGGACTCTAAACAAATATGAGAGCAGCTTTGGGAACAGAAAGCTTAACACAGTTATTCACATCTTAAAAATGATTGCTGCTCAAAAAAGACATTGGTGAATCAAGCGAAATTATATAAAGATGCTGTTAAAATATTAGTTGGCTGAACAGAGCCACTACTGCATGTTGTGTACACATTTGCGATCTATACACTTCATGCTGCAATTGACTGTCTTGGGACCACTCAGGTTTTGTTCTGATCAGCAAACCTATAAACTATCACACACTGTGTGTTATTTTAGGGATTGGGAAACAGCGGAGAAACTTAACAGCAAGATCTCAGTGCTAGGAGTAAGGGCAGTAGGTGCTGAAATGGTCCTGTGTTACTATGTGATGTAAAATAAGTCATTATTATCATTAACATCATCATTATAGGGCTACTGTATCTTTTAGTTTTATTGTGGTCTGTGAGAGAAACATGTGAATGTCATATTTACATCATGGGAAGCATTTCTCAAGGAGATTCTTCAATCTATTCTTGTCTTTCGAGTGCAGTTGGAAAACCATACTTAGATTTATTTGAAGTTTTTAGATGCTGTATTGTTAATTTTTTAAAATGTAAATTACATCTTTACTTTCTTAAGCTCAAGGTGGTATACATAGTCCTCCTCTTCTTTGCTTTATCTTCACAATAACTGTGAGGAAGGTTAATGAGACAATGACTGGACCAAGGTCACTCAGTGAGTTTAGCACAGACATGAAATGTAAAGAATTTTCATTTTGTTTTGCCACTAAAGAACAAACTTACAAAAACAACAAAAACTAAGAAAGGGGTTTCCTAACACCCTGGAAATCTGACTTTCTCTCTGACAAATTGATGTTTTTGCATACAAAAATTTTCAGGAGAGACCTTAGGTCCTTTTTATACTGTCTTATATCCCAGGATCTGATCTCAGATTATTTGCTTTAAACTGGATTATATGAATCTCCACTGCCAGATAATCTGGGATAAGATGCTGGGAAATATGGGTAGTGTGGAAAAGGCCTTAGTCCTACCAGCTCCATAGGTACATATGATGGAAACACAAGGCTGTTAAGCACTCATTATGATTTTAAAATCCCTATACAGCTGGGTTCCACTCTATCTGAAAGACCGCATCTTGTTATATGAGTTTTACAATCTTCAGGCAAGGTTTCTCTACTCAGTGGGATGAACCAATGGTTAAGCTATTTGGACAGAAATGGAAAAGAAAAGCACAATATATTTTGGTAAAAGTGTGAAGCCCAAAGGAGTGGATTGATGACAAATTGGATAGGATAGGACAGGACATCCCTGAACTTTGCATTGATAAAAAACCTCAAGGAGGGCCTAGGAAGTGTGTTACTTCTAGTTAACATAATCTCAAGCTTCTTTTAATGCTTGGCCTCTTTCACCTGCATTTCCAAAGGAAATAATAACAGGAAATGCATATGTGGAGTTTGTTTCCAACAATTCCCCCCAAAAATTGAAAAATGAATTATAGGTGGAAGCACATTTTCAGCTAGGAGTAGAACGGCTTGGGGTAGCACAGATTAAAACTAACAAAATATATGAAATCACTTCCGTACAAGGCTTGGAAAATTGCATTTTAGACCAGGAGAATGCATATCAGAATGTGTTTTTCAATTCTTGTTCAGATGGATTTGGCATCTTTTGGAAACAAACTCCACATATATGTGCTTACTTATAAATATAGTTGTGTTCACTAGGGCTTACTTTGTAAGAAATGTATTTTAAATTGTAGCAAAGCGACCACACAGCTATCCAACAAGTAACTATTTTTCTAACCTAGCATGGGGCAGGCAGAACATCATCAATAGATAGCTATATGATAAAATTGTGGTGTTTAGCACAAAGAAATACACATTTCCCAGTAACAGACAAAGGAATGGATTTAGAAAGATGGACAATCAATATGTATTCTTGCCTGAAGAAGAAGCACACAAATTTGGGACAACTGAGCAAAAAGCTTTATGTGCCAGTAACAATTTTCTCTTAATAATTCCTTTGGGAGTTGTCTCCCATTTCTAGAGAAATATGCCATTAGGATCATTGCAAAATGTCATCACAAGAAGATACAACTCCCACTATACAAGCTCTAGTGTACTGGTTTTAGTTGCCAAATGCATGTAAAGGAGCCTTTGTACCTTTAAGAGCTTCCCTGGGGGAGGGAAGCCCAATGGGCACAGTTGCTCTCGTTGCTATATAAATGTGATGGGAAAAGCTTTTGAGGCTGCAATCAGAGCTGCTCAGAATTTTGGAAAATCCAGGCCTTATGTCTGTGCCAAAACGGAAGCTGAGCTTTATGGAAAAAAATTTCTCCCTGTTTTATTTTGATTTCAAGGTGGTGATGGAAGTAGCACAAGAAGCAGGTTAGAGAGAAAACAAGCCTTGGAAATGAAATGGATTTTTTTTGGGGAGAGAGTGAAAGATCAAAATATTCAGGTTCAGATCCAATGAGAATATTGCAAGGAAGCCATCCACTGCTTTCTCCCTGTCACTCTCACAACACCTGCTGCATAGGCAAATTGCCAACTGCTATTGTGCGGGTACTCTTTGCCTCCACCCCAACTGCTAAACATTTAATGGGAGCTTTGGCTTCAGGCCCAAGGGGTTTTTTTGGACTCCTTTCTGTAAGTGAACTCCAGGCCCCTCTCTCCTTCAGACTTTAGGCTTCCCTTCCGCTTAAGGAAGCACTGCCATTTTTGAAAAGAAAAGGATGCCAAACACCTCAGCCATTCAAAAAAAAAAAAAAAAGCAGCACAGCTTCCTCAATTTTTTCCAGGATGTTGCCTAGAAAACCTTTATCTTTTGTCCCACCAGACATCTTCAAGCTCAGCAAAGAATGCTCGCCTAGTAAGCTTGGACAATTTCATTATGTTTCAGGGTTTTAGCCAGAAAGTGAAGTGCACAGGGGCTTTCTGCAATTTCTAAGTGGTATTTAAACAGTGATTCTATTAGGTTACAGCTTACAGGAAGTGACTGATGCCGAGGAAGGATTATTGGCAGGTGTCTGGTAGCTTGTTTTGTGGTGTGAGGAAAACAAGATATATGGGGAAGGCAGTGCAATAATGTTGAAGCTACATTCGGCTAAGACAAATAGAGTTTAGAGGGAATTGTGCCTGTATCTGGAGTTTAATGTAATACAGTGTCTCATAAACACATTCAGTTAATTGCAAAACACACACAAGATCCCCTCTTCCCAATTACTTAGTTGGTCTAATTCTGCAGTCGCATCACAATACCAACCCCATTGGGGAGAAAAGGGTCATTATGCTGGCAAATGTGGAGACTGCTCTGCTTAGAGGGTATTTATAAACACTGTTATAATTTGTAAAAGTGTGCACATGCTAGATTAACTGGCCAGGAGTTAAACTCCTAGTGATATTACCTTCCACTTTTGCATTAATGCCTTCACTATAAAATGGAGGAGTCTTATCTAGCAGCCTAATTATATTCATCTTATGAAGTTATATAATCCCTAAAGGGATGGTGAAATTTTAGGATTTTGTTGAATAATAATAATACCGCATATGGTATGAATTAATCGGTATTTGGTTTGGTTGTAGGATAATAATCACAAATTAATGCTGAACTTACGTGTGGTGAAGAGCACACCAACCACAGTGAGGGTCTCCTGAGCTTAGACATTCTCCGCAGGTTGTGTACTGTTCACAGGATTCAACAGGGACCTGGGATATCTAGGAAAACACAGGGAATAAAGTAATCATTTAGTGCAAATTCAAGTGTTTTGTTTGCACAGCAAATCAAGAAAGCAAGCTGTGCATAGCTGAATTTTCTGTAGTAAGCATGTGCACACATTTTAATGAAGACTTGAAATATACCTGGAAAGAAAGGCAAATAGTTTGTCTCCATCCCCCACTGCTGTAACTGCACTGATGGGGAAAAGTAAAGCACAGACGTGCAAACATAAGGTAAGTGGAACAGTGGGTTCCTTTTCACAATGGTTATCAAATTAGAAATCAGCTTTAAAGCAAATACCATGCACACCTGATGGATCACCTCCTTTCTGCAGGGCATCTACCCATGCTGGCAACTATAAGCAAGTATGTGGGTATAATGCCACAGAATAAACAGGATATGTATTAATTCAATTACTAATGCCACATTTAAACAATATCCTTTAAAAAGGGAAATCTTCAACACAATTATGGGTGGCCTCTGACATTTCTTTTATGATACAAATGGCAGGAATAGGTTGAAAAGAGAGGATGCTGGAAAAGAGAAGGTGTTTCTGAGGCCAAGTGTCGATTTGTTACTTATGGTTCACAGGCAGCCTATTTTAGATCTGCAACAGTACAGAATGACATGTGTAACACAACAAATATAATGCCTTAAGTAGTAATAGGTGGCACCTCTCGTCAAACTCAGATTTGACAGGTGCCACGCCCACTTTGGGGGAAGGCCCCTCCCACGCCCCTCCCACTCCAACCCCCTGAAGTCCCGCCTCTCCTAAACAGGAAATGGATGTCAGAGAGACCCTCCCATGGCCTGAAACCCCACCCCACTGCCCACCCCCACCCCTCCCTAACCCTAACCCCCCTTTGTGTGGAGCATAGCATGGATAGACCTATCCCCAATGAATGGCATGTGGAAATGAACAGCCTGTGCCCCTTGCGGCCCCTTTCTAAGATGACACACGTGATGCAGGGCTAACCAATAGGGAGTGGTTTAGTCCCTCAAGATGACCATGTGATAGTGGGATCCAATAGGCGTTGTTTTTAGGGTTTAAATACCCCCTGCTTGAGTTTAGGGAGACGCTCTGACCATTTTGCAGAAAAGCACATAATATGGATTCACCCGCTGGCCCTTCAACCTCCGCGAGCCTTTCAGTACCAGATGCACCTAGAAAGAAGCAACCAACTATGAAGAGAATAGCTGAAAGCGAGTACAGGTACTGGTCTTATCCGATCACAGAAGGGGCAACAGGGTTTTCCATACCGGGAACACCAATGAGCAGTCCTAAAAAGCGGCGAGAATCCTCGAGTGCAAAACCTCCGACAAGACTCAACTTCGTTTACAGTAGATACATATTATAAATAAGAAGAAATTATTATTGTTAATAAAATTTGTTATAACAACATGGTCCTCTTTTTCATTGTTTATTATTATTATATAATGATAATGAAGCTATACTAGGCCTTCTTTCTATTTAATGCTGTTTATATCTTTCTGTTTCTCTAAAAACTTACCCCCCAAAATTTATTTACATATTTACATTTGCCAACACATTTGTATATATATGTACATGATTCTTGACATCCTTTCCAACAATTTTGAATAAATTTATTTATATATGGTATTCTTAGTGATTTTAGGTACCATTTACATATTAAATTGTAATAATTTTCTGTAGCCCTTATTTATAAGTTTTTAGTTGTCTTTGTCTACATATTTGTTATCATTCTGTTTCATTTATTTTTATCCCTAAATCTTCTTCCCAGTTCTCACTGAGAATGTTATTTTATGTTTTCCTTCCTTTATTTCAATTATTATCTTACATCCTTTACTATTTGTTCCTTTCAATTTTCAATCACTTCTACAGTCCAAACCATTTTGTATTATTAGTTCAAATTGCTTAAGCTTACATCCGCTTTTGTTATTTTTCATAATTTTAAACCACTGTTCTAAGTGTATATATTGGAACCATGCCAATTTTAATTCTCTAAATTCATCCATAAACATTTCCTTCCTCATTCCAACCTTTAACCATGTGCAACCTGTTTTAACCAGCATCTTCTTCCCCTTCTCATCCACCCTAGATACAACACATCCAGTCCTCCAGAAATGAGTCAATTCAAGGGACACGTATACGCTAAGGCTTATATTCAGCCCCCACCATATGTTGAGTCAAATAACGCGCTACAACATGTTTTAGAGGATGCTGAAATTATAGCTGTGGGAGAGCCGGATCCACAACTGATAGGAGGTTTGTTCTTATACCCTGAAATAATATATAATAATAATAATAATAAAATGAATGCACAATGAGTGTGTCTGTGTGTTTTTCTGAAATACATGTCTATTTTCAGAAGGTGAAGTATTTTCTGATTTCGTTGACGATGCTACTGCTGCTGCTGCTGCTGCTGGCGTTGTTGCTGCTAGTCCGCCACCCAAGGCGACTACCAAATCTATAAATACAGGTATTGCTGACTCACGGATTATAAACTGACCAATGTGTATAAAAAAACACAACATAAAATACTAATTAAAATACAACATAAATACTAAATAAAATTTAATCAAAGCAATAAACAGTCTCAACCCTATGAAATAATAAACTTACAGAAAAGAATAGAACAACCCTATAAATAAATAAAATAACCATTCATAAGGAAGTTTTTAGGACAAGCTAATCATGTGGTTGCAATTGTATTTTCTAGATAAACATACCGATAATCGGGCCACACCCAAACCATCAACTTCAAAAAATCAAGGTACTAGGATGTTTGTCTCTCCTACAGAATGTCTTGCTACACATATGAGAAATAGTTATTCATGTATTGATATTTTATTCGTTACTTTTAGGAAAAGGCATGAAACGTGGCAGACCAGAAACTCAGAAAGCATCTAAACACCGCAAGAAGCAGAAAGATGGCAATGACATCGAAGATGCCCAAGGCCAAGCCCCCCCCCAAAAAAATTTACCTCCTTGAATGAATGTTATGCGGAACTTAAGAGATTGACTGAGGAAGTGATCCGCAATCATGAGAGAAATGATCAAATCATGGCACGTGATTTTCCATATGTTTTTTTCGGAAATTAAAGCACGAAAAAAATATTTGATGCTTACAAAGTCAGCTTACTATCAGAGGGGTGGGGGAATGCACAGTAGGGGGGAAAGAAAGCAAAAGAAGGCCTGCCCCAGAGATCTGTACTGGAAAAGAAGACGTAAATTGATAAAAAAGGTAAGACAAGCTCTTGCCAGGTCCAAAAGTAAGAAAAAACATAAAAGAGTTTGCCCCTTAATGAGCTCAGACAAGGCTTCTCCTTCCAGTACAGACACGCAGAGGGGATCGCATTCTCCAGAGCACCAACACTTAGGAGCTGTATCTAATGTTGATGATCAAATCCAACAGGAAGACCACAATGCTGATGAGGTTAATGGTTCACACCCTGTGTTTGCTGAATGCGTGAGCTCATGGCATCATCCAATTCCTGATTACAGCACATGGCGACTCGTTGAGGTATACCGTTTCAGAAATTTAGAAATGATTAGGTCATACGCAGAGATTGTAACTGCATTATACACGACGATCCAGGGCATATTAGACCGGCTGGGGCCTAGAATTGAACCTGAAGATTTTGTACAGGTGAGACTAGAAGCCTCAGGATTACGAAATCCACTCTTCTCTTTTAAAAGAAGTAGGGAACTCTTTAATGCTGAGGAGTTCCTATCACACCTTAGCCGCCTCTTACAAAGCAATATGGAAATATGCGCTCATGGTGATTTTGAGTTCGTGGTTACTATAACAAAACCACTACGAGGTGGAGCACATCGAAAACTGGGTTCAATCCCCGCGAGTGAAATAATAGCTCGAAAAAGACAATATTTGATAGATTTGAATTATTCAGGAAGCAATCTATGCTTTGGGGGTGCTTTATTAGGGGTTATGAGTATTCAGAAGCCCACAGATTCAGAAATGTTGACAGCTGCTCAAAAACTGCATATGGAGCTTGGTTGGTCTGATAAAAAAAAGGTAACCCTTAAGGACATTTCTACAGTCGAACAGCATTTAAGAGTCAACATCGATGTAGCCTATTACTCAAAAAAGTCAGGATGGTCCGTTTTTAAAACAGAAGGACCCATTTATCCACAAGCCTATACTTTACTCTTACACGATGACCATTTCTATGGGGTTCTGAATGTAAAAGCTCTATTTGGCATGCGTAACTACTGTCAATTTTGTCGCAAACTCTATAATCATGACCGACATAATTGTCTGTTTTATTGCAGAATGTGTATGAGAAAGGAATGCTCTAAGGTAGTTGAGGACCAGGTTCGTTGTCCGAGATGTAAGTTTCATTGTAGGTCTAACGCTTGCTTAAAATTACATCAACAACTGTTCTTAGAGAACAAAGTCAAATGTCCAGCGAGGAGGTATTGTACAAAGTGTTGTCATTATCAGGATGCGGATCATGATGATGAAAGATGTAAAGGGAGACAGTGTATGGTCTGCTGGGGTTACATTGTTGAAGATGAAGACCATGTGTGTTACATGCAACCACTTAATCGGCCAAAGCTGTCCGTGAAATACTTGTTTTATGACTTTGAATCACAACAAGAATTGGGGGTTCATAAACCAGTGTATTGTTTTATAAAAGCTTTTCCAGGGGAAACAGTAGAGTGTTTTAAACCAGATTATGTGGAAGAGGATAGCGGGTCTGAGGATAGTGATGATGAAATAGTAGGGGGTGTGGCCCCTTGGAAGTTAGCAGGTAAAACATGGGAATTTAGGGGTGAAAACTGTATTGAACAGTTTATTAAGACGTTTACAAAAGATGGCGCCTTTAAAGAATCAACATTCATAGCCCACAATTCAAAGGGATATGACTGTTACTTTATACTCAATCAGTTAGTGAAAGAGAAACTGGATGTTAAAATTATAGCACAAGGTGGTAAGTTAATCTGTGTTACAATTGCCGCGTTAGGCATAAAATTCATTGACTCGCTCAGTCA